TTAGTGTAGAAGGTCATTGCACTTGCGCGACAGGCGGGTATGGGCGGGTATCATGGTTGTAAAACCCCGTCATATCTCATTATCATTTTCATTTAAATACTTGCTTGTTTGTTTATATGCCACCTTCATAACATTTATTTATTTATTTATATTTTTTTGACTTAGCCCACAATGAAAAAGGTTAACTAAAGCAGTGCTGTACATATTTTTAAATACATAATAGTTTATGTAATTTAAGTCTATATCTACATTGGAATACGAAAACCGAACTGGTGAGAAAGAGGCCTCACTTGCACACCAGGATTACTGTGACGTAACTCCTTCAAGTTGCGCGCGAAAGTTCACGGCGGTTGCCGGTTAACATTTGAAGAAATTGCGCATGATGTGGAATGACGTAAACCATCGAGTGAAGAAAACATAGTACGGTCATCCCACTAATTGTTTTTATTCAAGCTACGGTGAGTTAGACGCATTTGAAACTTTATTTCGAATTCGTTTTGGAAAGAAAACTATTAGTACCTTTCTGAGGCATCGCCTGCAATTGTTGTGATCTCTTATAATTGCACAGACATTATCGTATCGAAAGTAGAATTTTGAAATATGGTCAGGAAACGAGCAGCGGCCTTTCAAGTTTGAAACAACCAAGAAAGTTGGAAGTTTAGGACTTGAAGGGTAAAAAATAACTGTTTTTAAACATGGATTGATGGTAGTCAACTCAGGCACGTAGGGCCAGCTGTGGTACCACGGTTTGAAACGTGCCGAAAGAGAGTAAAAAAACAAGGTTTCATCCACCGTTAACTGTTTATTTTTTTCTGCTTTATCAACGCGCGCTTTGTCGGGTTTTTTTAGTTATAGTTTTCTCCGAAACGAGTTGGCTTTCCCTTGTTGGCGCTGACTCTCTTTCCAGGTCTGTTCACTGTGCCCCTGATAAGAATGACAGACCTTCTGAGCAGACTAAAATTTTTAAATTAACATCAGTCTATGTTCCCGTCTATATTAGTGAGCTCACTAGAACTTAATAACAGTGTATCATAGGAATTTATCTATTTAGTTCTCGTACCATAGCTAAATGAATATTTACCACTTACTTAATGCTATACATTCTTATTTAAAAGAACTAAAGTATTTGTGGCTAATTTTCCCGCGGCTACATGTAGTTTACGCTCAGTGAACTAATGTGTGGTCATTGAACTACTGGTGTGGTTATTGATCTGTTGTGTACTTATTGAACTGTTGTGTGGTTATTGAACTAACAAAAAGAAAAATAGTGAAGAAAACATAGTACGGTCATCCTACTAGTTGTTTTTATTCAAGCTACGGTGAGTTAGACGCATTTGAAACTTTATTTCTAATTCGTTTTGGAAAGAAAACTGTTGGTACCTTTCTAGGTATCGCCTGCAATTGTATTGTTGTGATCTCTTATATTTGCACAGACATTATCGTATCGAAAGCAGATTTTTGAAATATGGTCAGGAAACGAGCAGCGGCCTTTCAAATTTGAAACAACCAAGAAAGTTAGAAGTTCAGGACTTGTACGGTAAAAAATAACTATTTTAAAACATAGATTGATGGTAGTCGACTCAGGCACGTAGGGCCAGCTGTGGTACCACGGTTTGAAACGTGCGGAAAGAGAGAAAAAAAACAAGGTTTCATCCACCGTTAACGGTTTATTTTTTTCTGCTTTATCAACGCGCCCTTTGTCGGGTTTTAAGTTGAAGTTTTCTCCGGACCAAGTCCGTGTTTTCCCTTTTTGGCGGTGACTCTCTTTCCAGGTCTGTTCACTGTGCCCCTGATGACAATGACAGACCTTCTGAGCAGACTAAAAATTTTTAAATTAACATCAGTCTATGTTCCCGTCTATATTAGTGAGCTCACTAGAACTTAATAACAGTGTAACATTGCTATTTCTCTATTTAGTTCTCGTACCATAGCTAAATGAGTATTTACCACTTACTTAATGCTATACATTCTTATTAAAAATAACTAACGTATTTGTGGCTATTCTTCCCGTAGCTACATGTAGTTTACGCTCAATGAACTAATGTGTGGTCATTGAACTACTGGTGTGGTTATTGATCTGTTGTGTACTTATTGAACTGTTGTGTGGTTATTGAACTAACAAAAAGAAAAACCATGGCTACCTTCTGCACATGTTGTATCAACCTAGCCTCCCACACAGCTGTTCTTTGTCTCGTCATGCAACACTAATGGTAACCTCGGCATGTGGTGATTATTGCGGGATATGATGTACTTGTCAACTAATCAGAGCGTGTGGACCTCTATAATCACCGGAGTAGTAATGTATTTATTAAAACAATTTCCAAGTTTGTTTACTTGCAGAGGACACTCAGAACAAAGTCATGACTTTCATTCTACCTGATCTATTTTCTGAAGCATTTAAAAATGCCACTGTAGTAAATAAAAATAGGCAAGTCAACTAAAAAAGAATACATCATGCTCCATGAAAATATTTCAGGTTGGTNGCTACATGTAGTTTACGCTCAATGAACTAATGTGTGGTCATTGAACTACTGGTGTGGTTATTGATCTGTTGTGTACTTATTGAACTGTTGTGTGGTTATTGAACTAACAAAAAGAAAAACCATGGCTACCTTCTGCACATGTTGTATCAACCTAGCCTCCCACACAGCTGTTCTTTGTCTCGTCATGCAACACTAATGGTAACCTCGGCATGTGGTGATTATTGCGGGATATGATGTACTTGTCAACTAATCAGAGCGTGTGGACCTCTATAATCACCGGAGTAGTAATGTATTTATTAAAACAATTTCCAAGTTTGTTTACTTGCAGAGGACACTCAGAACAAAGTCATGACTTTCATTCTACCTGATCTATTTTCTGAAGCATTTAAAAATGCCACTGTAGTAAATAAAAATAGGCAAGTCAACTAAAAAAGAATACATCATGCTCCATGAAAATATTTCAGGTTGGTTAATTTGCCAAGTACCAGTTCCTAAAAAATTCTTTAGCGAATGCAAATCGCTGAGGACTTGCAGAATTCTAGTATAAAGGTGATAGCACAGTAACTCACCTAAGCTTGCGTTTTCCTCTCCTTCGTCTTCTTCCAAATTTCTTAGCAAGTGTTCTAATATCTTTTCCTTTCCCTGCAGTTTTAATTGAATTATAGCCGCTAAAGACAATACGATAGATAATGAAAAGACCACAATAATAACAATGTTCACTTTTGATTTCTCGTTGTATCGTATGTCATTGCATGTAAAATTAACTGCCACTTGGTTGAATACTGTGAGCGTTGTGTTTGCCGAAAAGCACCATTATTCCGCAGGATATTCAAGTTTCTGGTAACAACAGAACAGTCCCATCATGACAGTTAGAAGAGCAAGTTGATAGCATATGTGACCAATGAACACCCAATAATAATGGTCCACATTCTTTTTCCTATTTGCTTTACTGATTTTCTTATCGCGGATACGTCGCAACAACCAATGATTCACAAGGGTAACAATCAGCCAGCCAAAACTTGACAAACCAAAGGTAATTCCAGCAAAGTCCAATGGTGTTAACCGTGGGCTCATGGCAGAATTGTATTTGTCATAACATAGCTGTCTTGTGACTTCATTTAGTTTGGGCACACAGTTGAATTGTAGCCTGTCTTTACCTTGAAAGTCCCTCAGTATATCAATCACAATGGGCCAGGCTATCAAAGAGATCACAAAAAGAGCGCCACTCGGTATGGTCTGAGACTTTAATGTAGCTTTGAGCAGATTATCCATCACAAAGAAGGATCAAGATCTGAAAGAAACAACGAAAATGGAAAGGTTAGAAACAACTTTCACCAAAGTTAAGATTAATATATTTTTTAAATTTTTATTACTAAAAGAAATTAAGTTTGCAGGACAGCAGTGTTAATGCTGGCAACAGAATTGCAAATGCTTAAGCAAAGCAACTCGCAAATCGGGGACGCTGCAAGCTGCAAGCTGTAAGCGCTTATAGAAGGCGGGAATTTTGGCGCGAAACTCACACACCGCTGTGGCTTTTGATTGGACGTATCATTTTTCTCACAAGTGAAAAAACATCGTTGGCGATTCTGATTGGACGTATCGTTTTTTTAACTTGTAAAAAATATCGTTCATGATTCGGATGGGCTAGAACTCATTTGCGTATGAAAATTTACGACATACTAGCTTTCAGTGAGTATATCTCAGTATTTATATAATAAAAAATGAGAACAAATGCCCTACCTTGCGGACGAGTAAAAATCATGTCTCCTTAAGAAGAAGTCCATGAATCCTTTGCGCTTTTAGCCAAAATCCATTGCGCTCTTAACCAACATGCTTCGCGCTTTCGGCAATCGAATAAGTCCGTCGATGCACATGCCGGCTCGAAAATTTTTCATGGATTTATCATTATTCTAATTCTGTCTGCTGCTCGCTCCGCTCCACAGCAATTATAGATGATTTTTATTTTAATTAAAAGCACTCTGCTGGTGGTAAATTTCATGTGCTAAGTTAATACTGTCTCGTTCATTTATTCACTGGGTGGATTTGCGATGTGTAAGAATTTTTAAGGAAACATGTCTTTTACTTGTCCGCAGGAAGCAGTTTGAGAACGTGACTCTTGAATATTTTAGAACTTGCATCTAAATTAACTGATTGAATCTAGCGAGGTGAGAAATTTTTGACGATGACAACAAAATTCTAAAGTCAGTAAGTTGTCAGCAAGGTCTAAGGCCCCGTCCACAAGTATCCGGGTATTTTTGAAATCGGTGATTTTTCCCTCCGTTTTATCCTTCCGTCCACACGTAAACGGCGTTTTCTGGTACCAAAAACAGAGGTTTTCGAAAACTGTCCTTTGAGTGGAGTCTAAGGAAAACGGCTGCTTATCGTCTTCTTGTTGACGGACGAAAACTGAGGTTTTTGAATGCGATGGTGTCATACATCATAGAGCGCATAGATTGCAATGTAAACAAAGTGTCTGTTGTACGGAATTTGGGTGCTTGGTTCGATGATCAACTTACTATGGCCGTACACATTACCAAAATATGCAGTGCTACTTTCTATCAGTTGCACAACATTAGACGCATAAGGAAATACCTTTCAATGGATACAGCTGCGACTCTTATCTACTCTTTTGTTAGTAGCCGAATAGACTACTGTAATAGTCTATCATATGGGGTGCTTAAGCGTCATATTGACAAGTTGCAGACAGTTCAAAACGCAGCCGCCAGACTTGTCGTTATGCAGGGCAAATTTTGCCATATTACCCCAGTGCTCCATCAGCTGTATTGTCTTCCTGTCTCATTTTGTTTTAATTTGAAGATTTTACTTTTAACTCTCAAAGGCATTCATGAATTAGCACCGTCCTATATCAGTGATCTTGTCAACATGGTGTACTCTCGTATGAAGTACAGTCTGCCTTCCTGTCTCACTCTGGCTATAAACCGCCGCCCGGTTAGCTCAGTTGGGAGAGCGCCGGTCTGCTGAGCGGGAGGCCGTAGGTTCAAACCCCGGCCGGACCAACACTCAGGGTCTTTAAAGAACTGAGGAGAAAGTGCTGCCTTTGTAATAACATCTGCAAATGGTTAGACTTTCTAGTCTTCTCGGATAAGGACGATAAACCGTAGGCCCCGTCTCACAAGCCCTTGTACATGTAATAAATCTGTGGGACGTTAAAGAACCCACACACTCTTCGTAAAGAGTAGGGCACGTAGTGCCCGGTGTAGTGGTCTATCTCACTTTCACACTCATGTATGGGGGCATCATCACTCATTCCTTCAGTACTTGTAAACTGCACCTTAAGCAGTCTGGCAAAGTCCCCCAACCAGTGTTGTAAATTATCCCTGAAAAGCCCTGTGGGGAGTGGATAATAAGATATTTACAATTTATTTACAATTTACAACCACACGACAAACTAGATTGCTTCTAGGATTGTTCGTTTAACATACATATATAATTACACAATTTTCTTTTTTCTGTTGTACCCGCCTCGAATAGCCTTTGCTAATTGCGGGCACAAGCTTTGTAAGCTATATTTAATTTGAAATAAACTTGTCGTTGTTGTTGTTAATTAACCCTTTAAACTCAAGATATAGACTGCGATCTAACGACGGAATACTGCTGTCTCACCAGAATTTTAAAACTTTAACAACCCTGGTCGACTGTGCTTTCGTTACTTCGGCGCCATAAGTCTGGCACGATTTACCTCTGGAAATTAGAATGGCCAAATCTGTTGACCCTTTTTCAGGCTTTTCATTCTTTGTTAGGTTTACTCAGTACGTATACACGACTATGTAATTTTTATTTATTTTTAGCAAAACTTTTGAAGACCTACCTTTTAGTAAGCCCGGTTTTTTATTCTTAGTTAGGCTCTTTGTTATCATACACAACACATGATGTCAGTAATTCTTATTTATCATTTACTTATTGTTATTCTATGTATTGTTGTAATGCGCAGTTGATCATCTCGTCATGAAAACTGCACAATATAAATTCTTAATTCTTCTTCTTCTTCTCATTATTATTATTAACGCATGCCCTGTTAGGGATACTATCATATTTCCATCGTTTAAACGTTCTCGTGTGGACGGGCGAAATCGATTTGAATACACTACGTGTGGACACGTATTTTTTCGAAAACAGAGAAAAAGTCTCATTTTTTTAAAGAAAAAAAAATCCGGATACGTGCAAACAAGCCCAAAATTGTCTATAAAATGCCGGAAATGCGTATCTCGAAAACCCTCGTTCTCATAAAAATTACACTCAGGTTCAACGGCCGATAGATGTACGGAGCTGAAACCAGTCTTTGAAAACATCGGCAGGGAAAGAGAACCAATTCATTGTGGTTTGCCTCAGTGTCATATAAATTCAAAGCCTTATAGATTTCAGGGAAAAGCAAGGTTTTGTCGCAAAAACCGAACTGAAAGGAACGCACTTCCCAGGGGCATCCAACGACTTTTGTTCTGTAAAAAAGGAGCAAATACTCCCTAAAGACTTATAAAGCTCGAGAAAGGCTAAAAATTTCTGGATAACCGTTCCATTCGTCTAAGATATTCGGAGATTTTCTACTAACTTGCCACGATTTCGTTTTGTGTGTTTCACATTTTATTACCAGGATATTGCGATTTTATATAAAAAGGTCCCCTGCAAATTTCGTTTTAAAGATAAAACGTCCCCTAGAAGTTTCTAATGAATGTGGGGTTGCTCTATGTCCTCAAGCCGACCCAGAGTGCTTTCCCAACGAGGAACTCAATGATTAGTCTTGAATTTTATCAGGACATGAAAATAAATATTATGTAAATAAATTAATTAATTAATTAAACTAAATTTAGAAAAATAGTAACTGTTTCTTAGCTAGGGATCAGGCTCATTGGCTTGGGGAATAATGAGTAATAAACTTGGAAAATTAATCAACACAAAAACAAGCGCCTCACCCAAAGAACCTTCACCGTGCTAATGCCACAGGGGCTGTCATTCAAGATGGGATCTATTACTCGAAAACGCCGGAGCCAGTACTTTCGTAGCTTCCTTAAATTCAATTTCCTACAGCTTAACCTTCCCTTTTTTCTTTGCATTTATCGCTTGTAATGTGGAACTCCTTATTCTGATACGGAGAATAGACCTAAATCACCGCAGCAATTACAAGGACTTGGGCTATTCTAATATTGGGCTATTTAACATGCGGATATGTGCTTGTTAAATACAAGAACTTCAATGCTCACGTCGTAACTGTCTACAGACTACCTCGTTCGATACGAAACAAATTGACAGCAGCAATGTTTTTTGATGAATTTCCCCGATTACTCGAATCGAGAACGGTTCATCCAAAGCCATTAATGATATTTGGCGATTTTACCTTTCATTTTGATGATACTACCAGTAGTGACTCTTGCAACTTTATTGATTTACTGGAATCTGTGAACATGATCCAACATGTATCTACACCAACACACCGAAAAGGGCACATTCTGGATTTAATAATAACAAGGAATGACGAAACATTCATTCAAGATGTGAGAGTACTCGATGATGTTTACTCCGATCATAGTGTTGTTGGGTGCAAGTTAAACTGCCCAAAGCCGCCACCTTCAAAAGTTCTTGTTAATTACCGAGCTAACAGTAATCTTCACTCTGATAAGTTCAGCTCAGATTTATTGAACTCTGTCCAACAACTCGCTAATACAAAGGACCTGAATGTTTCGTTTGAGAATTGTAACACAGCCCTGAATAACGTTTATTCTACTCACTATCCACTACAAACTAGGTGGGTCAATCATAGTCCGAGAGCCGCTTGGTTTAATCAAGACTTACGGGTTGCTACGACTTACGGGTCGCCTGGAGAGAATGTTTAGGAAATCCCACCTTTCTGTTCATAGACAACTTTTCATGGAAGGCTGCTCGCGATATAACCGCATGCTGGATTCTGTAAAGTCAGATTATTTCAAAGCCAAAATTGACCAAGCAGGCAACCACAAGCTATTTAAAACTGTTGAGCGACTGTTCACCTCAGGGTCACCGGTTTTACCAACTATCAACGATTCTCTGGAATCTTCGCCTGAAAATTTTAATGACTTTCATGTACAAAGGATTCGGAAC